AAAGCTTTACGAGAGCTTTGCAGCTGCTCTTGAAAATCAGTTTTTCTTTTTGGCTGCTGGCTCCTGGCTTCCCAGGAGCAGCTGTTCGCGCTGACGAGCTGTGCCTCGTGTTTGTCTTCTGGTTTGGGTGAATGAACCCAAACGACCAGAAGCTGCCTCAACGCCTCTGCGGCCGCGGTGGGTGGCAACTGTTGTAAATTCTGCATCGGGGACTTGCACAATGCTTCAATTCCATTTAATTTGCAACGTATTTTACTCTAACATGGATATTTCTAGATCTTTTTTTTCTGTACTTATTTTTTGCCATTGCAAATTTCTTATCTTATCTGACCTATATGCGCAATCGAATAGATATGAAATACCGTCAGGTTGTACTCGAGTAGCTTATGACTTGAGTCTACACTGTGGGTATTATCAGAAGAAACGAAAATAAGAAATAAAATAAGAGTACAAATGATATATTAACATAACAAAATTCTACTATTATACTATTGAGAATCGAATAGAATAATAATTATGCTATATGATTGAGAATCGAATAGAAAGGCGCATTTAATTGATATTGAGTTTGCATTAGCTTAATAAGACGGTCTTCTCAATAAAAAAATAATAGATGGAAACAAACCCGTAAAAAAGGTGAACAACGAAACTCTTATTAGTTTTGCTTTCAATTTTTTTTAATATTGCTTCACTGTGGAATGTAGCACGTAAATAAATAAGAGATACCACAAAAGAAAAATTAAAATATAAACATAAATGAATTAAATAAAAAATAAAAATAAAGTCTGCATACTACTTGAATAATTTACTGAGAATCGCATAAAAGAGATGGCTGAATTCAATTTACATGACTTTTACAAGAGTTTTACTTTACTTTACTTTACTGAGAATCGCATAGAAGAGTTGGCTGAATTCAATTTGCATGACTTTTACTAGAGTTTCTTATCAGTCAATGCCAAGAAATCTATTTGACTTTGACTTTAATTTATTTTCTTACATTTTACATTTAAGATGCTTATCACTTCAATTTCGTGTGCTTTGCCCCACTGTGGCACGCCTTTAACTATGCCACACATTTCATAGCTGTCGTTTTGTCGGCTGTTTCACTCTACTCGTGTACGTTTTTACGGTAAACAAAGTGAAAGAGTTGGCAAAACATACGCTCGTTGCATGCAAAAGAACGTTCATAAACAGAAGTAAGACAGGCGAAAAAAAAAAAAACAAAAAAAGTGCCGCCCCCAGAGTTGCCCGCCCATAGCCGAAACTGTGACTGTGACTGGTCCAGCTTGTGCTTTTTGTGAGCGAGCGCGCGCTCACTCTCTCGTGCTCGGTCTCGCTCTCTCGGCTGCAGGCTCTCGTTTGGCTGTGCTTTTGACTGCTTGGGCAGCTTTTGCACAGGATAACAAAGCTCGGCGCAATCAGTCGTTGTACTTAGGCGAAACATAGATGGTCGAGTTGCGCGTTGCAAGTGCCAGCCGAACGCGTTATTATCCTTGATAAAAAGAAAAAATTAAAAAAGAAAAAGAAAAAGAAGAAGCCACAGAGGCTCTCTGTGTGTGTGTGTTCGTGCGTGTTGTTTGATGAGAGTTTTCTTTTGCAAGTAGGTCCCGTCCGACATACTAGCAACAACAACAACAGCAACACCGTTCATAAATAAGTGACGACTGCATCATCAGCTGTTGGCACAGGACGCGAGCGCGTTTTAATGTTGCCCCATTTGGCTGGCGAACGTGCGGCGCCTCAATTAGTTGCCAGCCAATGAGCTAACGTGTGTGTGAGTGTGTGCGTGTGCGTGTGTGCGTGTGCGTGTGTGTGTGTGTGTGCGTTCGTGTGTTTGTTTTGAAGAAACGCTTTCAAGCTGGATTACAGCGGCGACAACAACGGACCCTGGGAGAAGCAGAAGCAGACCCAATCGACTGGCGAGAATGCTCCTGGCAAGAGCAATGAGCAACTGCAGCAGGATCTGTTGCAGCAGCTGCAGCAGCAATTCCAAATGGCTGCCGTGCAACAGCAGCAACAGCAGCAGCACCAGCAGCGCCAACTGCTGCAGCATCAGCACTCCCATCCGCCCTTCCAGCAGCAGCAGCAGCAGCCGCAGCCGCCGCATCCGTCTAATCTATATGGCAGCGCTCATGCTCATCCGCATCAGCACGCACATCCGCCGTTGCAGCATCATTTGTCGTTAGGTGGCGCGCCTGCCTATCAGCTGCAACAGCAACAGCAGCAGCAGCAGCAGCAGCAATCGGCCACGCCCACCGCCCACCATTGTCAGTACTCAACGCCGCAGCATCATTATCGCAGCAATGCGGCAACAACAACAACAACTACAATGGCCGCTGCCACCATACGACGTCGCACCTTAAGCCATGTGGCACGCTCGTATTCCGTGTGCGCCACCATGACGCCAGCTAGCAGCGGTGGTTCAGGTGGTGCAGGTGGTGCCGGTGGTGCAGCCATAACCATTGCCCAGCTAAAGGCGGCCAATCCATTGCCAGCCAATGTGCCCAGCAGCAGCTCTTCCGCCACAACGGGCAGCCACTTGGCCAGCAGCGCCACCAAGCTGACCGTTGCCGGGCACCACAAGACGGGCATCATGGTCGCCGCATCGCGCTGCCGCTCGCCCATTATGCTCTGCCACAGTCACAGCGACGGCGAGTTCCCCATGTATCGAGGTGAGTGAACAGCAGCAGCCCACTGGGGATTAGGGTCAAACGGAAGGTTCGTTTGAATGCCAGGCCCAAATAAGGCCAGTTTGACGACGCTAATGAACAGTTGCCGTAACTGTTACAGTTACAGTTACAGTTGCTATTGCAGTTGAGCTAATGTGATGAGGGGCAGAGGGCGGATGATGCTCTGGAGTTTTGTGACATCATCGGATGATGATTTGACTTGATATTATTCTATTTTAGAGTGAGACAGATATAGAAAGGATATGGAGTTATAGAATTAAAGAAAAAAGAGAGAGGTATATGCAGAGATAGCGAGAAGAGGGGCAGAAATAAAGAGTGAGATAGAAAGATAGAGAAGAGAAAGTGAGAGACACAGATTGAGTGGAAGAGAGATAGATAGAGAGAAATAGGAGCCATAGAGAGTTAGAAGCAAAGAGAGATATGGAATGCGAGACAGAGAAATAGAGTGCGAGAGAGAAAAAGAGGGAGAGATGGAGTGAGAGAGAGATAGGCTGGGGAAAGGTGGGATAGAGAGAGATAGTGATAGTGAGAGATAGGATAGAGAGAGATAATGATAGTGATAGAGATACATTGTGGAGAGATAGTGAGAGATGGGCCGAGAAAGAGAGAGATAGGATGATAGATGGAGAATAATAGTGTGAATTAGAGAAAAGTATAAGTAGAAAGAGAGAGATAGAGGAAAAGATAGAATTAGAGAAAGAGAGAGAGAGAGAGTGATAAAGAGAATGAGAATAAAATAGATACATGTAGATAGAGAGATCAATATAGAGGAAAAGATAGAGAGAGTGAAAAAAGAGAGTATAGGAAGAGGATATTAAAATGGTGGAATGCCATAGCCTAGCAGCAGCTCTACGCCAAAGAAGAAAGACAAAATGCATGATAACATCCAGTTCAGATCATCTCAAATTAATTAGAGTAATATATTACGCATTGACTGCAGAGCATCCTTATCTTTTCACAAAACTGATTGATAATAAAAATGCATATAAAATGCTCAATTAAATCGCAGCTCGATTGTGCTTGCCAAAGGGGAAATACACACAGAGAGAAAATGCTCATGCATCTGATTGATTGGCGGGTGAGTAGGGGGGGAGCAAGGAGTCTACCAACACATCCAACTAACATGATGCATCAGCATTTGCAGCAACAGCGAGCAACTCATTAAAACAACGATTGAGCTCCAAGTGGGGGAGAGAGGGAGGGAGACAAATCGAAGCGAGTATCGAAAAGATATGCGTTCCCTTGACAGCATGGAACTGTTGTAGAGTAGGGGAGGCAAGGGTAGCTTGGGGTGGTGCTGGAAACTGTAATTTAATTAAGCGCCCCACCAAATGGCGACACTCTATATGCGGCACATAAAAGAAATGGTTAAAACAAAAATCAGTTTCGCTAGACGGCGCCAAGGCAACGGCGGGAGTATGAGAATGAGATGAAGACAGACAGAGAAAGAGAGAGAGAGTGAGGAAAGTGTGAGAAACAACAGTAAAAAGGACAAAGGACATTCCCCACATTGCATTGCCAGCGCGCCACTTAATGAGTTGACGGCACAAAGGGGGCGTGGCACACACACACACACACACACATAGTCTGAGCGCAATAAAAAAAATATAAAACTTGACTCGAATGCATTTTTATTATATTTTTTTATTTTTGTACTTTGTTTTTTCGTGTTTAACTTGATGTCTTCAGTGTGAAATGCTCAAAGCGTAATTGGCCAACTAAAGTACTTGGTAAATTTGCATAGCCGCCATTTGGAATGGTTGTGTTTAAGTGGCATAAATACCAAGTGGTTAATCCGCATGTTAAGCTGCAGCTGCACAGAAATCCAAATGAAAACCTATTTAAATTTAGTTGTGAATGGGAGGGGTAGCGGAAATTACAGTTAATCATATGACTAAAGTTCAGGTTAGACTTAATGGGCAAAACGAAATGTTAACTATTTTACAATTTGCAGGAAATAGTACTTAAATATCTTTATTAGTTAATCCTCATGTCAAATGGCGTTCGTAATGAAGCAAGGAAGGAGAGGTATAAGCTTATTGTTATGTCCTCATGTTAAATTCAGCTGTTAAATATTTACACTTATAAGGGAAACTTAAGCTCAGATCTAGTCTGCAGATATTTTACCAAAAATTTAGTTAAATTACTATAGAACTATATTTCAGTTTAATTATTGGTAAAGCATCATCACAAAAGCTTCAAAAACTGCTTCAATGGTTTATCCTCAAGTTAAATGTAAATATTAAGAGCTAAAACCCATTTTTGTGCACAGTAAATTTTAAAATACATTTTTGGGTGTAGAAATCTATTTGGGAAGTCAAGAAGTGAAAATTTGTAAATCCACCCATCTTATATCTTAGCCTCATCAGAGTTTAATAAAATACATTGACAAGCATTTCTTGTATTTCAATTCAAATTTATTCATATTAACATTTACATAATTGCATCCTGCTCGGTTTCCTCCGACAGCATATCTACATCGATGTCCTCCTCCTCCTCCTCTACTTCGACAGTCTCGTTTTCTTCCTCATCGTCATCTATTTCGCACTGCTCTTCCTCCATCTCTTCCTCGTCATCGTCGCCTTCCTTTGCGTTAGCATTCTCATTCTCTTCGGCATTCTCCTCCTCCTCATCCGTCTCCTCTTCCGCCACTAATTCAACAATGCGTGCTTTAAACTCATCAAATTCATTTTCGAGCGACAAAATGTAATCCCTGAACATCGTAACGCTCAGCTCTTCAGTGCGATTCTCCAAGAGATCTAAATAGGGGCATAGCGGGTCCTTAATGTAGATGCGATGACGCTGAGGTATTCCATTCTGATTGTGAAGCGTACGCTCCTGGGCATTGATGATGGTCACGTATAGCAGAAATAACAGTAAATCCAGAGCATACGGTGTCATTTCGTTGAGTCGATCCCCGAAATTGAGCTGAGCCGGTGGTGGCATCAGTTCGAAACGGACCGACTTTAGCACACGGCGTAAATACATCTTACGCTCCGTATAATCGCTTATAACCCACAAGAGGCCCGCGTAGAACACCTCCACCTCGGTGTGAACGCCCAGCAAATCGGAGCTGAGCAGAGTGCACACCACATTTACGTTCAATTCGCGAAACTCGTCCGACGAGACGAACACGAGAAACGATTTGCCGATGCGATCGATCATCAGATCGGCGACACTCGAAATGCCCTTGGTGCAGGCCTCGGTGAAGCAATTGAAGGCATCTAGATTCGAGAAGAAACGCTCATCATTCAGGGCCCCATAGACGCTCTGCACCAGCCTCGGGGCGTCCAAATACTCGGCCGCCACTAGCAGATCCAATAAATTGCCACGCTGACAGCTGCTATCCGAGCTGATCATCCAATTGTAGGCGAGGAGAAAGGACTCTGCCGAAATCTTATCCTCGGGCAGCGTAAAAGCCTTGCCCGACAGCAATGTCTGCTCAAAGCACTTGCAGAATGTGCGCAGCACACAGCTGTGACACTCGAAGACCTGCTTTCCAATCGTGATCTTCACATCCTTCACCAGAGTGTTGACCATGAAGTTCTCAACGGCCTCCTGCAAGGGCGTCTTCTGCGGCAACACCTTCTGCATCTGACTCGAGCTCAAATTCGTCGAGCTCTCAGCATCCCCCACCTGTGCCTCCCGCTCGGAGGGCTTCTGATTCTTGGCAGTCGACATGTCCAATTAGCTGAAGAATATATATATATATATAGAGAAAGAAAATCAAAACAAAGAGTTTTAAACTCACTGCAATATAATTTTTAAAAAATCGTATGAATCGCACTTGGTATAATTTATTAAAAATTTATTCTTAATCAAATTTTCCTAGCTTAATCGACAGCTAAAATAATATTCGCAGTGCGCACAGTTCAAGTTCAGTCACTCAAAACAATTTTGGCAAGATTCTGTGCGAATTTTACAAATTGGGCAGAAAAAGCAACGCCTCCTGTGTTGAAGTGCCGCACATTATAGGCGGGCAAATACCGTAGATAATTTAAACAAAAATACAAATGAAAAAATTATTATTTAATTTTCAGTAAAATGTGTTTTATCAGGTAAAAATAAAGCTAAACAAAATTTCTACAAGCTTGAACAGTTATCAGAGAATGATTATAGAATTTTAACAATATGTCTGATTTGTTTGTAGAATATTGGAGACATTTCATGCGACAAATTCGGAAACATTTTTGAGAATGTTTATGGAACTTTCCAAGACTTTTGTTGAAACAAAGCCAGATTATAGAATATTGAATATATGAAGCATTACAAATGGGTATATTCAAATGGGGAATGGGAATAAAGAAATCAAGGGTATGACAAATTAGTTTGCAAAAGTTTTTTTATGATAAGAAAGGAACAGGAAGAAGCCACAGTATTGTGCAATTCGTTAATGGGATGAGTTCCTTTGAAGGAGTGTTGACAATCGTCATTAGCAGAGAGCCAGTGTTGGAAAGAAGAATTTCGATAGAATTTCGGAAGAATTAAGATAACACTTTTAATTAATAAACGAAAGGTTGGAAATGACTGTTAGGAATGTATTTGGATTATCATAGACATATACAATATATAAAATATATGTGCTAATAGTTGTTGAGAAATTTAGCTGTTGATACTTATCGCTAGAGCCAGCAACTCTGTTCTCTCTCAATATTATATATAAACCAAAGCTGAACTCTTTCAGATTTCAAATTATAAAGAGCTACTTGAAGTAGACTATAATAAATTCCTAAGAATAAATAAAAAAGTAGCAAGTTTTTGTAAAGTTAAGTTAATATATTCTATAGATTTCATAGAAGCTTTTGCGCCTCTTTAAGTTAAATAAAATTACAAAATAAGGATATACATATATAAAGTCATAATATAGTTTATATGATCTCTATATAGTCTATATACTTCATATTAGGTATTCGTCCTCTTCAAGTTTAGTAAAATTCGTCTATTGCTCTTCATAGCTCTGGCTTTGCTTTAAATTTAATTTAGTTCGAATTTAATATTAATAAAAGCATTATGTGGCTACATAAGCCTTTTGTTGGCTCTCGCATGCCACCAGCTACAGTATTGTAGCAGACCCCAGTGAATTTCTTGGTCTTTGGTTATCTAGGCAACTGGCTATAGAAATGCATTGCAATGGCAGTCAACACGCGCAGCTAAGCTGTCAGTGAAACCTTTAGGGATGCGCCACAAAGCGGAATCGTAAAATCAAATGCTCACCAGAGAGCGAAACAAAGGCGAAAGAGAGAGAGAGAGAGCGAGATTGAGAGTGAGTGTGAGTGTGAGTGAGAGTGTGAGCGAGAGTTAATGTAATCTTTCGCAATAACATGAGAGCTACAGGCATAAAGGCTACATGTAAGGCTTATACACTACCCAAAACAGTGTATGCTTATAGGGTATATTCGCACTCGTAGAACTAGAATGAAACTTCAATAATTTAGATAATTTGGCGCAGCCTTAGTTAAGCATGTGGCGCAGTAAACTTTACCCATTTGATCTCATTTATTTCCGTTTACCAAACACCCACGCACACACGCACACCTACAGTCAGCACTCGCTAATGACGTCAAGTTTGGCCCAAATCAATAGGCCGTAAGCAAAAGTAATACTTATGTGGCTAGAAAATGTTTTGGCACAAGTTGCAAATTAAATTTACATTTCATGCACGTAGCCGTGGCACTCCCCCCCCCCCTCTCTCTCTCTCTCGCTCGCTCTCTCTTTGTCTACTCATCCTTAATTGTGGCAGCAGCGCGCCTGGCACAAAGGATGCTGCAGTCCGCCTGGCGAGCTGCCAACTTGAGCCAATTATGTGGCAAGCGAAAGGAGGCAACGGCAGCTGCAAAAGCGAAATCAATACGCGCAACATTAACTCGAACGCTAAAGACACGCCATGGACTCATTAGCTTGTGGCGCACACACACACACACACACACACAGAGAGACTCTAACTACCCGTCAAGATGGGCCAACGAGCTGTCAAAGTGTGTGTGTGTGTGTTTGTGTTTTTCGATTAGGACGATGCTGTTTGCCATCATTGTAGCCAAGTTTGTCATAAACGTTGCCATATTGACAGCATTAATACCCCGAGTAGTCCAAGTAGATCGACTATGAAATTGAGTTGAGATATTGAGTTGAGATATAAAAGTACATATATAGATACATACCAATATATCATCATGTCACAGCTGCATTATGGATATTAAATACATATTAAGTGGGTCAAGAAGAGCTTAGATGTGGTAGAATGTGGAGAGAACTTCTTGATATATAAATAGGAAAGATATGCATGTACATACATATGTATATTTGTCTATGTATGTGTTTATGTACAGTTAACTCCTGCATATAATATGCAAGATATATACAGTTGTATCCGGTTATAACGACGTTAAAGGGATCGGCGTTATAAGTGGAAGATGGTATAACCTATAATAAAACCTATAAGTTTGTCCGGGGTTCAGAATTTTTGTCGCAATAACCGCACAGACGCTATAAGCAGAGTTGTTATAACGGATATTTCATATATTTGATATATTGATATACATATATAATAATATATCGACACAAAAATCCTCTAGCTATACATTTATAGAATATGTAGTCAAATTTGAAAGTCTTTCATATACCTAGAGCACTCAGATTGTGTCCACAGATACACATACATACACACTATAGCACACATGTCTTATATAGACATTTTGATTAAATTGATAGTAAAAACTTTTCGAAGTACTCCCCCCATTCACCTTCCCCAGTTGTGAAAGCAGTCCAATTAAATGTTAAACAAGGCCCATAAATAGCAACTACTTGTGGCTATGATACTTTGGATAGCTACTTAAGGATGCTTCAAATACTTATAAACAATCTGTGAGCACGAGAGAGGCTTGAGGGCAACGTGAGGGGCGGGCGGGCGTGCGAGTTGAGGCAGCTTAAAGCTCGCTCAGCCCTAAGCAAAATTGCAGCAAAAGTTAAGATGCAAGACGACAAAATTCTTAAGAAATCTAATATAATATATATGTGTGTATGTGTCTCTCCCTCTCCCTCTCCCTCTCCCTCTCTTGATACATACATCTTCATCTACATATGTGCGTGCTTTGGCATTTTGGATTAGGCGCTGCCAATTGCGGCTTGGCTCAGCCACGCCCTCAAGTGGCAATTCATGTTTGGCCTTTATGCGCTGGCTTTTGGCTTGTGGCCATTGTTTGTTGTTGCCATTGTTGTTGTTGCTGTTGCTGTTGTTGCTGTAGAATTAACATAAAAATGCGCAGCACATGACAGGCGCAGATAATCTTTATTTACACACACTAACACACACACGCACACACACGGATGAGAGACTTGGCCAAGTCCTTGAACCTTGCCAACGTCTTTGAAAAACTCAATCAGCAATTGCTTTACGTTTTATGCAAATGACAATATTTATAATCTATATATATAGTATAATATATCTGTGTATATATATTTGCGTGGTTCTTCTTTATTTATTTATGCTGGCCTACTTACCTGCTGACCATGCCCTCACCCACACCCACGCCCACTCCACGACATCAGCTGCATGCACTGCACATAATTGCATTCAAAGCCACACCGCACCGCCGCCTACTGCTCCCCCCCCCCGCTGGCTGTTCAACTCAAGTTGAGGTCGTTTGCTGTGCATGTGGCCGACATTGTTGACCAGGCCAAGTCAAGTCAAGTCACGCCTCTCCCCTCCCTCTCTCCCTCTCTCTCTCTCTCTCTCTCTCTCCATCGCTTGGCTTATTGAGTGGCGCAGCAAATGACAATAAAAGCGGTTACTTATACGCCATGTTGTACGCTTGTTGCCGGGGCTCAGCTCGGTCTGCTTCGGCTGCTGCTGCTGCTGCTGCTGCCATATTATTGACAGCTTTGTTGCCTCGCATTTATTTAACAATTTTCCATAATTAAGTGCATTCAACTGCCTTCGTTTTTAATGGAAATATATTTATAATGTATATATGCATATATACATATGTATATGTAGGTAGCGTTAGTTTAATAAAGCTGAGCTAAAGCGCGCGAAGTATTCGACTGGCCAATTATGCATTCTGCAGCTATTCTTTTTAATGTGCGATGAATGGGAGGATAATTGAAAAACGAGAAAAGGCATATGTGTATGTGTGCAATGAAAGAGAGAGAGATGAGCCTAAAGCGAGACTGTTTGCTGATTGGTATTTGAGGAATGATAAGTGTAGTTAAGCTACTCACTCTTAAAATGAAAAGAGTATATTGGTTTGGAGGTAAGATTAGTGTAAATGGTGGAGAAAGCGGAAGAAAACGGCAAAGAGAGAGAAAGATTGAGAGAAGGCAGCTTGAAAGAATAACGACAAAAAGGAAGAAAGGCATAGATAGTTAGAGAGATATTGAGAGAGGAAGAGAGAGAGAGACAGGTTGAATGAGTGAGAGAGAGTGAGAGAGAGAGAGAGAGAGAGAGAGAGAGAGAGAGAGAGGGAGACTGGTGGAAAGAATGAGATAGAGGGAGAGAGAGATACAAAGAAAGAGAAATAGGTAAATGTAGAGCAAGAATGAGGGAGAGATAAGGAAAGAATTCAATAACGACAGTGAGAAAGGGAAAAAGAGAAAAGGCAACAGAGTGAGAAAATGAAAGAAAACAACAACACTATATCGATGTTATGCTTCTACCTTCCCCAGTTATTCTTTTATGGTCTTTTTGCCCTCCTA